GAAAGGGCAGGCACAGGTAGCCACCGAGGCCACAGTCTCCTGTGAGTACCTAAAACAAACGAGAGCTGGGCTAGATACTTTGGTCATGGCGGGGGGGGGGGCATGTGTAAGGTGGGCACTAAATTATCCTCTAGAGCTGGTGATAAAGATCTTATTTGGGGCATTTTCCAAACATGCATTTACACATGAAAAAATACGATGTGCTACATAAACCAATAATAGACATGATTCTAATACTTGAAGCTCCACTAGGTAGCTTTGTTCACTCTTGGGGATACTCCCACAGGAAATGGGAATATCCTCCTCCTTTCCAGCATAGCTGTGGGGAAGACCAAAAAATGGACCCCCTGGGTAGACATTGGTAGAGCCTCCTTTATTCAGAAAGGAAGTAGACAAAGATGTCTCAGTCAGGTAAGTCTGGTTATGCACTGGAGCTTTTCTAAGCACTGTCCCTTCCCTATGAAGACTAGAAGACCATGGGCCTTCCCCAGATCAGAAGGCAGGTGATATGGCAGTTTGGGCATTTTTTGATACTTATCACTGGCACCAGTGCATAGATAGGCATCATGATATCATAATGGATTTCACAATGGCTATCATAATCAGATGACAAGGCTGAGATTTCTACAGAGTGTAGGAGGTAGGCATTTTGACCTCAAGGTTCCTTCCAGTTCTACCAGGCACCCAGGAAGGAAGGGAGGAGGGAAGATCCCCCACTGAGCAGCATCCACCCTTCTCTTTTCCGAAGGCACATCTATACGGAGTCTACTTAATGACCTTTAATATCACATATGGCCCCCTAATAGGGAAGAGGCCCATCCGTTCTCTTTGGTAATGGGATGTGTTTACAGGGCAGACATTTTCATCACACGGGGTCCACTGCAGCTGGCGGGGTGGCCAGCTGTGAAACAGGACTGCACAGAGAGCCATAATCTACACAAGGCTAATGAGGAGCGACCCAGCCTGTGTTCTGTGAACACAGTGGAGGACAGGCCCATTAGTTATAGACCAGAGGGCACTGGGCCCAGGCAGCAGCGGTTCATCTTCTAACATCGTGCGTTGCTTGAATCATCTCCGAATTGCCCTGTACATCCACAAATTGCTCATTAAGGCTTTCCTGTCATTCCTGAGTGCAATGTTCACTCCTCTCTGAAAACTCTCCAAGCACAGAGAGGCTGTGCCTAGGACAGTATAGGGCACACAGCAGACATTTAATAAATAAGAGTTTATGCAAAGGGAAACCAGGAAACTTTTGGAGGTGTGGCTCTATTACCTTGATTGTGGTGGCAGTTTCATGGGTATATGCACATGTCCAAACTCATTAGATTGTATACATTAACTATGTGCAGTTTATATATCAATTATACCTCAATAAATGTTTTCAAAAATATAAATAAGTAAATAAATAGGAGTTTATGTGCCCACCTGCTTTATTACAGGGTGAGCTGCTCTAGGACAGAAATTCTGGCCTACCCATCTTTACCCACATGCCTTGTTCAGGGCTCTTGACAGCTGCTCAACATTCATTATTAAATGAATGAGTGACCTACTTTACAAATGATCTGTGGAGCAGGGTCCCTCCTCCCTAGATGTCTGACTGAGAGAGAGCATGGCTCCCTCCCACCACCTCCCAGATGGGTAATGCAGGGGGTCATCACAAGGGCCAGCGCAGGGGGTGTGAGGCAGCTTCACCCCCCAAGACAAGTTGGTAACTAAGGAGCACAAGCCAGTTTTCAAGCCCCGGGGAACACGCAGTCACTCCAGAGGGCTGGAGGGGAGTCTCTGCACCCACCCCTTCTGCAAAAATAGAAGCTGAGCGATTGTCAGACTCCTCTGATTGCCAAGAGCTTCCCAAATCTGGAATTAGAGGCCTCCTCCGATGAGCCTCCCACCAGAAGGGAGGCCCAGACTGGGCTCAGGCAGCAGCTACTTCCTCGCGCTTTGTTTGGATATGGATCCGCACACGACCCTCTCTCTAAACCATCACCCTCCTACCCCTTCCAAAAACACCAACTAAGTCAAAGGCTGATATATTTAAAATAGCTCTGCACAGATATTTAAATTAATCTTAAAGCAACTTAAAAAGACTGTTTTTCTCCCCCGCCTCACGACCAGCACATTTTCGGTGGCAGCGGGTAAAGCTTGAGCAGCATTTTCACCGCTGACTCAATATCAAAACATTCCAGGGCTGCCCTCTTCCCATAGTCCTTTTCACTCCCTCTGTTTTGTTTTTAATATCCTCTCCCCCCCTCCACACACCCGCACGTGCATGTACACACACACCCGCGCTTCTTTTTTAGGTATGAGCATACCACACAGCAGGTGTTCTAAACTTAGAGTTGATGGCTAGAATTCAGGGATCATATACTTACGAGAAAAAACCTATGCCTTTATTTCACTAACCTCTAACTGAAATATATTAATAGCATTCCCTTCCATTATGAACAGAGGTAACAAACCACATTAGTGTTAGCAATACTGGTGTGTTTGACACCAAGAGAAGCACACACATTTTCATATTGCGCCAGGGTTGTTGCCCTGAAGCATCATTCATGCCCATCACTACTTCAAACTTATGGTAGTTATTGACTTCAAGTAGATATTTTTATTTAGTACACTGATAAAGAAGTACATATGGTACTGCTAATTTTTAAATGTAATAACTGTATTTCAATAATTGCTTTCCAAGCCTATACGTATTTTTTGTACATTTAGAATTACTATTCTAAGAAGGGGTCCGTAGGCTTCACTGGATCAAAGATGTCCATGGCACAGAAAGGTTAAGAGCCACTGCAGTGAAGTAAGCATGAGAAGGTAGGATTTGAGATCTTCTCTGGGTCACTGGGGCATGGGCCAGAGGACCTACAGATTAAAAGGCAGTGTTCGGTGGTAGCAGAAGGCAGGTTCTAGGAGCAGAAGGAAAGCAGGGTTATTGGATAAGAGCTTGGGTGGGCTTTGGGGATAGACTAAAACGCTGGTCCTGTCTAACCAGCAGTGTGACCTTGGGCAAGCCGCTTCACCGCTCTGAGTTTCCATTTCCTCAACTGTCAAATAGAAATAATAACATACTATTCAATTCTTATGACCATTAGTTGAGAGGATATATTTGTGGCAGCAATTACTGCCCAGCTGAATGGAACTTGGCTGGCTCTAGAAGCGCAGCCTCCTCTACCTGGGGACTTCTGGAGCTAAGGTATGCTATTTGTTTTGTTTTTCAGACAGGCACTATCTGTGCCCTATGTAGACTTCCATAACCTTGCGCTTCAGGGATACTGTGAAGAGCCCCAAAACATGCCTAGGCAGACATATGTCCTCTGCCTCCCCTTCTGTCCCTTGCTACTGAAACTGGCACTCAGGCCAGGCTGCAAAGCAGATTTCCTGCCCTAGAGCAGAAGAGACCTCAAGGAAAAAGGAGATGTTCCAAATCGTTCCAAAACTGGCATCAGGAGCCAAAGTACCTGCCTCTGGCTTCACAGAACAGCTGACTCCTGACCTGGCATCTTACCACTTGGTAAGTAAGGATTCTGTGGTCCAAGCTGCCCACCCAGAGCAGGCCAGGCCAGGGCAGACCCAGGCTTCTGGGCCACTGGGCAGAGCCCTGAGGAAGGTCAGGGGAAACCCCTTTGCATGGCTCTTCCGAAAACTTGATTACATGATGTTCAAAAGTTCTGTTATAGAAAGAGATATGCATTCTTTATAAAGTACATATATTGATTTTCTTTTGGCTATAAAAGATTGGAAAATACAGAAAATTTATAGAGAAATTAAAATCAACCATAAGCCCGGCTCCTAGTAATCAAAACTATTAATATTATAGCAAATTTTATTCCAGTTACACATAAATTGGGATCACACTTATACAAAGAGTTTTATATTTCATTTCATCACTTAAAAATACCTAGAGACATTTTCAATGTGGGCTCTTATAAGACACACAATCATTACATCAGACGCTGCTTGTGAAAGTCATAGGTTACTGAGAGGTGTCATGGCTTTCCTAAGAAGAGTACATTGTGCATTTAAATATAACCCAGAAAACTGATAAAAGAGCCCTTTTTACTCTTCTTAAAGTATATATAAGAGTAAACTCTCTTCTCTTTAGCTTGAAGAGAATATAGAGAAGATATCTTTGTGTCCTCAGCAAAGAAGCATCATATGCCATTTTGCTTTTTTACATTCTCATATCTTAGTTTTCCTCTGATAAGGGGAAAGCTTTGAATATTCAAACATGGTGTATTACTCCAGAAAGTGCTTAGCAGCTGAGAAGAAACCTCCAGAAAGAAGTGCTATGGCAAGAAGAGCCCTGGACGTGAAAACAGGAAAAAACTGGATTCACGTGTCAGCTCTGCCACTGTAGATCCAAGACCAAGAACGTCAGTTTCCCGAGTGTCTAGAGAGACACTACCACTCGACTCATAAGGATAGAAGGATTGTGCAGATGAAATAAGACTCTCCATGTGAGAGTGGTTTGTCAATAGTAAAATACACTGCAGGGTGATAATCACTGATTAATGATAGAGTGGCTTTAATAGTATTGCTGTTTTCGTTGCTTAGCTGGCTTGAACCACTCATCGTAGGTGCTTAGGGCAGCATCCAATAGTAGGGAAAAGCATGAACTCTGCAGCTAAACTATACTCTCTAGCTTGGTGAATTATTTAACCTCTCAGTTTCTTCATCTGTAAAATGAGATGATGATAGTACACCTACCTCTTAGGACTCTTGAGGACATTAAAATGAGTTGATTTATATATAGTGCTTAGAACAGTGCCTGGCACATAATAAATATGTAAGGGTGAGCTTTAAAAACAGTCAGTGATCAATGACCAAATACAAGATTGAAATAAACTTTGCCAGCTAAAACTAGTAGGTACTTTTTAAAAAAGCTTTCCATAAAAGTATTATCATCATTAATCAGAAAGGTGAATTAGCAACCTCCATCGGTTTCCCTAAAAACTATGCTCCCTCCAACCCACTCCAGGTTTGGCCTGTCCCCTTCCTACCTTCTCAGCATCCTGCTCGAAGAGCCGCAGCTGAAAGCACTGGTCCAGCTTGAGCTTGCGCACGTGCCACATCTGATGCAGGTGCTGCCTGGTGGAGTGCAGCTTGTCCAGGAGGCTGGTGATCTTGGGCACCAGGCTCTGGAAGTCAGCGCTGCCCGGGATGCAGTTGCGCCCTGAGAAGCCGTCGCTGCAGCGGATGCACTGCAGCAGCCGCTGCCCCTCTCGGTCCAGCTCCTCCACAGGGGCCTTCAGCACCTTTTTCTTGAGCTGTGTGTGTTCATCGATGAGCCGCCGAGAGCCCTCCACGTCCACGGGGAACTCCTTTCGGGCCAGCATCTCCTGCAGGTCCTCAAGGCGCGAGAGCAGGTGCACGGCGCTGTTGAAGAACTCCTCCAGGGAGAGCCGCAACTCGATCCACTCCTCGTGGTTGTAGTCCAGGGAGCCGTCGAACTCCTCCGTCAGCTGGGAGGGGTCCACTAGCTTCGTGAGGCCTTCCACGGACACCATGCTCGTCTGGAAGGGACAGACACAGACAGGGAGACTCAGAGATATGAGGAGAAGACCACAGCAGAAATAGGCAGGTGGAGGGAAAGGCAAGGGGAAAGGACAAGATAAGTCCACATAATAACGACCACACCCTGCCTAGGAAAGGGTGAGTGGGAGACCACAGGCTCCACTGGTTAGGAGTCACAAATCAGCTACAGTCAGCAGTTCCTACAGACTGCTGACTGCTTCAACAAGCCTCTCCACCTGCTCGCATTTGCCACCCAAGGAAAATTGCCTTTATGTCCCTGCTCCCTTCATCTTCCCTCCTACCGACCCCACGTCTACCACAACAGGGCTTTAGATGCTAGAAGCAGAAGCTGGCAGAAAAACTGGCCCAGTGCTTGGGGGTCAGTTTTCTATAGCTTTAAAACCAAGGCCCATGGACCCAGGGTAGCATCATGGTTGCATTAAGCAATGTGGGTTAACACGTGGGCCACAAGCATTTCACAGTATCTTTCTGCTTCAGGCTGGGCTCTCCCCTGGAGCAGACGCCCTTCTGTGGTACAGTGAACAGAACTGGGGCTAGGCAACAGGGGAGTTGGGCCCTCGGTTCTACCTGTGAGGCCCCTACAAGCTCTTGGAGAGCAGAGTGGAGAATGTCTGTCTCCAGCAAATGATGGTGCAGGCAACCATCCCAGCTTATTAATAACCATCTTTCCCTTCCTATAGGGCTTTGGGCTTCTCTTCTCTGTCATGAAGAATGAGAGGCTATCAAAGAAATATCTGGGTTTGAGTCCCAGTCCTACACTGGGACCCAAGGCAAACTATTTAAGTTTATATTTATTAAGTGTGAGGAGAGCCTCAGTCTCCACCTCTATAAAATGGAGATAATAATTCCTCTTTCATAGGGCTTACTGGGATTAAATAGGTCAACGTGTGTAAAGCACCTACGGTGCCCAGCATGGAGCACATGCTCAATCCCCATTAGTGCTCTGAAGGCTGCATCATTACTTGAAGACCCTAAAAGCAGTTTGCCTCTCTGTTTTCCTGCTACTCTCTAAGCATCCCCACTTCTTATCCCTTCTCTCTCCAGCCGCCTCCTAAGACACAGGGAGCTGCTGCCACAGGCAGGAGGGCTGATCTGGGACAGTGGTTCTCAAACTTAACTGGTCATTAGAATCCTTTGGGGAGTTTACAAAAACACTAATGCTCAAACTCCACCCTAGAAATTCTGATTGAATTGGTCTGAATTGTAGCTTAGGCAGGGGGAGTTTTAAAAGCCCCCATGGTGATTCTAATTTGTAGCTAGAGTTACAAATTCCTGCTAACCTACAGCTTTGCCACTCAAAGCATGGCCCTCGGAGCTGCAGCATTGGCATCACCTGGGAACTTGTTAGAAATGCAGAATCTCAGGCCCTACCCCAGACCTACTGAGTCAGAATCTGCATTTACAAGCTCCCCAGAGGGGATTTGTGTGCATTAAATTTTAAGAAGCCCTATTCTAGACCATTTTTCCCTTCAAATCTGGCTCAAAGTTTACTACTTCCAGGAAGTCCTCCATGATTATACTCACCAATTATTAAGTATCTGCTATTGAACAAGCCTATACTCTCATCCCTGTATCACTTGTCACCCCGGTCTGCAGTAGGTATTAAATTTGCTATTTTTAAGATACTGTTTTATAAATATTCTTTTGACTGGGAGGCCCCCAGCTACCTGTCTTCTATCTCTTGTTTAGGAGGCAGAGACAAGCTTGCTCAACTTGGAGTGAAAGAGGTGCAGGGAGATGGGACGTGCAGGCCAGCTATGCAGACACAAAAGTTTCAAGCTTTACTGAAAAGATTATTTTCAGTCTCTTCAGCTTATACTTTTATAGGCTTATTGTCACTGCCACTGTATAAACAAACCAAAAATATAAAAAGCATTTCTGTTTTTACACCAAGCCTAATTTCTTGTGTTATTTGCACAGAGTGAGAACTGCCTCCATCAAGTGGTCAGGTCATTGTGCTCAAATCGCAGCCTACTGGGGACACTCTACAACACACGGGCGCTCCTGGCTCTGGGGGACAAAAGTCTGGAATGGGAAGCTGCTGAAAGATTAAATGCAGCTCTGCCTTTCCAACACGCACGCACATACTAATATATACACAGTTCATCCCCCTGCAGACGAGGACCAGAATTCTGAAAAAGGGAACAGCTCAAATTTGGCTGGAACGAAGATGCCTAAATCATTGATTTAATCTGATGTGTTGTCATTAAAACTTCTCAGGGGACACATATGACCTCGGAAAATTTACTTCAAAAACAACATGTTTTTCCCGATACAAGTAATATATCATCTTTGAAAGAAAATAGAAAACTACAAAGAAAATAAAAGTCACCTATAATCTAGCTACCCAGAATAAACCATGACTGACATTTTCACATGTCTCAGGCTTCTTCTCCACACATACACTTAGAAAACAAATTTCAGATTATACTGCCCATATTGTTTTATAACCTGCCTTTTACTAAACCATGTATCATGGCCATTTGTCAATTATACTATTTTTCTAAATATAGTTTTTAATGATCTCATAGTATTTGTATATTAATATCACCAAAATGAATGGATAGTTAGGATACAACCTATACATGTGTATATATATGTATTATATATGTATATGTTTATGAGTGTATATGTATATATACTATTGTATATGAACATATGAACTGTGCATTTATAGACATTTTTGTTTGTAATTTTAGTTTTAATCTCTTTGTTTTGTTTCATTTTTACATTAAGAATATTTCCTAGAAGAAGAATTACTAGATCAATGGATCAATGGATATAAGCTCTTTTTAAGGCTTTTGATACAAATTACCAAATTGCCCCAGTTTACACACCTATCAAAAGTGAATCTCATTGTCTAATGAAGCTCTGCATTTGGGACAATTTCTTAGGCCTCTTGTTCCTCCCCAGACTCCCACTGGCAAAGCCACGGTGGCTAAGGAATCCTGAAATCTCAGCCCTAGACGTGTTGCATATTGTAGGGCAGACAAAGAAGAGGAAGTGAGAAATGTGTGGATGGCAGAAGGGGAAGGGGAAGGGAAAGAAGGTGCTAAGAAAGAGAGGTCTGGCTCACCTCAAAGATGAATTTGGAGCTGCCAAAGTTGGTCTTCTGTTTCTGCCAGAAGTTGTCGGGTTTGATGATGAGGGCCACATGGATCTCAGCTGGAAAGGCTTCCTGCAGCGTTTTGAGGAGGGGCTTGATGAGGTCCCACTTGGAGCCCCGCATGTCGATGATGACAGTGAAGCCACGTTTGCACACGTCCTCACTGTGGGGAGGTCAGAGGTCAGGCATGGTCACTCTGGGTAGCTGAGACTTTGAAGTGCACAGTGAAAAAGCACCCAGAAACCTGCATTCCCCTTGACGTGGACCACCCTTTCAACTTTGCACCAGGTCTCCTGGCCACTTTCCAACCCAACTCAAAATATAGTGCCGCAGAAAATCCTGCTAGATTAACCCTGTCTGACCAATGGTCCTGGCATTCTGTCTTCTCCCAGCCCTTTGCAAATAAGTCGGCCTTTCTTATACAGGTTGAGTATTCCTAATCCAAAAATATGAAACCTGAAATGCTCCAAAATTTGAAACTTTTTAAGTCCCAACATGGTACTCAAAGGAAATGCCCATCAGAGCATTTCAGATTTTAGACTTTCAGATTAGGGATACTCAAACGGTAAATATAAGGCAAATATTCCCAAATCCAAAAATATCTGAAATCTGAAACACTTCTGGTTCCAAGCATTTTGGATAAGAGACAGATACTCGATCTGTAGTCAATTGCATTTGTTGGGATGTTTACTGTTTGGGTATTCACAACTGTATTTGCTTTCTCTTTTCATTTTTGTCTCCCCCTCTTCTTCCTGGAATGAATCAAATTTTCCCCACTTGAATTCAAGCTCTCTAAAGACAGCGACCCTGTTGCCTCTTAAATCTGAGGTGGAAAATCCTTCACAGGAGTGCTGTTCTTTCCTGCACACACATCAGTGACAGACGCTGATACACTTTACCCCTGAACTCAAACTGGGCCAAAAAATCCTTTTCAATAAAGGGATCCAGGCTGGTTCTGCCACTTGATTAGAGATGGTACACAAAGTATTAATATTCATAAAATGTATTTGCCACCACTATATTTAAAATGTATTACTTGTAGTTAAAGATGTATATAAACTTTTAAAAAATCCAGTTGCTGAGTCATGCCGATCACTCAGAGAAAGCCAAGAACTGATCAGAGCAGCAGGTGCAATGCGGCTGTCTCATGCACTTTCACTGCAAGAGTTATGGCGTGAAAACATACATTTCGGGACGTTAAGGGAGGACGCTTGATGGGGGGAGTAACTCCTAAAATCAAGGCAAATTGAAGCGACGTGACCATCTTGAGAACCAAGACTTAAGCAACCTAAGTGAATCAAAATGTTGCTATATAACTTATCAAGTAGCAAAGTCTACTTTAAACACTTTAACTCCAAGAATAGGAAGAAAGAAATGAAGGTCAAATAGTTATAACATCTCAGTTTGGAACAAAGTCTATGTTTTAATATTTTGAGGTTTTCCTTCTCTTATTTCTCACTGAGTATTTTTGATTTACTTAACCTATCCCTTTATAACTCAAAATAGACTTTGGTTAATTCACATTTTTTACATAAACACTGGAGTATTTCCTTAGGATCTTTCACTTAATTTCCCATTTCCCAGATTGTACTTGACTAAACTACCATGTGTGTTTCATGACCCTCAGATGCACCTACTACACATCAGTTGCTTACAGCTATTGGCAGTAAAGCCACACTTTGGAGGATTTAGGCCACAAAAAGAAACAAAAAACCTTTTTTCAGGCTTCAGTCTCAAATCTCAACCAGTGATCAGAATGGCACAGCCCCATGAAGAGTCCACAGCTCTGTGCATATGTGAGTCTCGCAAGCACAGGCAACTTACTTAGGCTTCCCAATTAGAAAATTCTCCAGGTGAGGGGACTCTCCCTAGCATGAGAGGAAGGCTGAGTATTCTCCCCAAATCCTGCATCCCAAAGGAAAGGAGTTACCTCTTCTTCTCTGACACTTACTAAAACAAGTGGCCAAGGTCTTCTATAAATAATTTTCTCTGCCCTCTTGTCTGAAAGCAAAGTGACTTTTTCTTAAATTACAGGGTTTCTTTCCCACTCTAAGAGAAACACCTGACAATTACAGACAAGTTAAAATATTCAAAGATCTATATAGGAGATGCTAATGGTAGGAATTTATAATACCCTGGCCTATTTCCTTTCTATCTGTTTTGTGCATACGATTTTCATACCATACAGTGTTCTACTTTTGCCTGTAATAGAGAGTTATTTTTCTCACGTCTAAAATGTTTTTGAAACTGTTATATTTAATGACATATAGTATACCCTATACCTATCCCATAACTTACTTAATCATTCTCATGATTGCTTTACAGAAAGGTATATCAACTTCCATGTCTACCAGCAGTGTATGAAAGTCCCCCTTACTTGATCCTTACCAGCTCTGGTCACTGAACTTTCAAAATATTTACCCATTTTCCAAGGAAAAGACTGCATTACATTTAAATTTGCATTTCTTTGATTACTAGCTATTGCTTATTGGCCCATATATATTTCTTCTGTGAATTATCCATTCTTTTATCCATTTTTCTATTAGAGTTTAATGGCTTTCTAGTGGGGTTTAATGGCTTTTCTCACTGAGTATAATTTAGTTTAGCTTGACTTGCATTTTGTTGCATGCCCCCTTATGTCAGGTTCTGCACCATAACTATAGATCTTGTCTGTCCTTAGAGATGACAGTCTTCCTTATTTCCCTGCCCCTCAAGCTCCATCCCTGTTGCCATAATTATGCTGACATGAGACATCTTGGTCCCTAACACCAAATATTCAGTGTTGCTACCAGGAGCTGGAGGTTGACTATCCCAGCATCTAAAGGTGGTGGTCAGTAGCAGGTTAAATCCTATTAACTAATCATTTCTGACAACTGAAAGTAGAAATCAAGTGCTAATATTCTCTAGGGAGTCCTGAATCACTCAGGAGATGGGGAAAGACACCCAGTGGCTGAATGCTAAGAACTAATCTAATTGGTATCTTTCTGTGAAAACAGCTTAATCTTCCAAGGTGCTTGTGTATTTGGTTTCAAGTAAGGGTCATAGCTGGAGAAGGAGAAAGAACTGTTACAGCTCTCTGCCTGCTTCTAGACCAACCTCCTAGTACCTGAAACCCTAAAATTCTCTGCCCAAAGGGCTCTTAGCCTACTTCCTGAGCCCATGCAAGTAACACCACCAATATGTATACCCCTATGCCTGAAGGGCAGCAAAGGGTTGCTATTTGCAAGGATGTGGCTAAAACATGGCTGTATGAGCTGGGGTGTCTGCCTGCATGCATAAGGCCCCCTGCCATGCAGTGCAGAGCTGGGGAGTGGACAGAGAGGGAGTCAGAGCATAGGTGTGGACTTATCTCTGTGCTGCCATGTTTAGGCCTGGGAGCTCAGAGTCATCCAACACATCTAAATTTGAAGTTGGCTTCCTAGGTTGCTGTAAAGATATATTATTAAAGATAGGACAGAATGTGTTTAACAGTTTGTTAGCTTGCTACATTAATTTTAAATATCCAGACAAAAGATATGTGGGCACCACAATGTCAGAATGAGTCCCTGCAAGAGAAGAGGCTGGAGTGGAAGCAGCCTTCAAATAGGGACGTACATACCTCATATGTAAAGGCAGGACACTGGATTTATCCTAAAGGCAATGAGGAACCACTGAAAGGTGCAATTCAGGGAAGGAATATGATCAGATGATTCAGAAAGATTGCCCTCCAGCTGTGCAGAAAGTGAGCAAATTGGGGTCGGCTCAGAGGACTGGTGAGAGTAGAAGCAGAGAAACCACCTACTTTAGGTCCTTGTTAAAATGACTCCTCAATGAAGTCTTCCTTGGGCCACCCTATTAGAAGACTACAACTGTCCCCTGGCACTCCCTACTCCCCTTCCCTGATTGGTTTTTCTCCTTGGCATTTATCACCATCTGCATGATGTATTTCATTATTTATTGCCCATCTTCCCTCACTGGAAAGTAACCTCAATGAGCGCAGGAATTTTTTTGTTCATTTCACTGCTGGGTTCCAAGTGCCTAACACCACGCCTGGTACATACGAAGACTCAGCGCATTGAGAAAGTAGAGGTAGCAGTTAAGGGTATGGAAACTAGAATCAAACTTTCTCGGTCTGAGTGCCAGCTCCACCATTTACTTACTGTGGAACCTCTCTGTGCCTCAGTTCCGCACTGTAAAATGTGAATAACAAAAGAAACTACATTACAGGGTTGTCTGAAAGGTTAAGTTTGTTAATATGCAGAAAACACTTATGATGGTGCCAGACACACAGTTTGTAAGTCTTGGCTGCCATAGGAGATGCTGTTGGTGCCCCACCTAGGGCCCCTGTATTGACCACTGTGCCTGTCCTCCAGATCTGACAGTGTTGCAGCTGTCAGATTATGCCCGTGAGCACCTTTGGAGCCCTGCCTTTGTCTGATTAGCACGACTCCTCCAAGAGAAACCTGTTACATCCCCACCCCAAGGCTGGCCAGTTCCTTTCTTGGACAAGTGTGCCAAAGCCCGGCCCCATTGCCTCAGAGCAGAGCAACTGGGAAGCGTGACGCATGCTCCATAGCCTCCCCAGTCCCCTGGTAAGGCTACAGCTAGATTTTATCTGAGATCACATTCTTACTGGGTCTTCCCTCTTTCCCAACTCTGCTTCTGTCACTCCCTTACAAGTTTTCCTGAATAGCAGGCCCTTAATAAATCATTTACACCCAAATCCTCATCTCAAGAAACATAGCCTAAGATAGTCATTTTTATTATTGTTATGAATAATAATGTAAATATAAATAATACACAGTCGGCCCCTTGTATCCATGAGTTTTGATCCTCTCAGATGTGAAACCCGCAGATATAGACAGCCAACTGAGTATGTCATACATATGTGAAATTTGGAAGGAAATTTGATAGATGGTCTGGAGATTAAAAGAGAAACCTGGACTGGAAATTTTGGGAGTCACACAAGTGCCCGGCACATAGTAGATGTTCAATAACATTTGCTGAATGAATAAATCCATGAAAGAGTGAGTGGGAATTGATGTGCTCAGAAGTGAGTGAGATCACCCAACAGAAATGAGGAAAAGAAGAATCGCCTTTGGAGTCAAAGATAGAACTAGTGGGAATATCAACGTTTAAGAAATGTAAGAGGAAAGTAGATGAGCACAAGGAAAAAACACAATG